CTCCTCTATCGACGTCTTCGACAGACGCTCCACCCAGAAATCCTTCGCCTCATTCATCCATCTCTCCTTGTCGACTAACGACGCTGCCCACATCATGACCTGCAATTGACCTGCATGAAGATTGTCACGAATGGGGGGCCCCTGCTGGCGTAGTCCACGCTCTCGCCTGCTTTCTGCTTCGCCCTGTGCTCCTGCAACCTGTCGTTGTGGGCCTGACCCGCGTTCTCGTTCTCTGCCGCAGAATCCGTGTCCGCGCTCACGTCGAATGTACGGTACACCGTGCTGCTGAACTCCGCGACCGCGCGGCTGTCCGTCAGCACGAGCTTGGCGAGGATGAGCACCAAGTTCTGCAACGCGTTGGCGCCGCCTGCAACCTTGCGCGCCTCGTGGCGCGCGCTGCTGCGCCGCTTCTTGGTTGCGGGGGCAAACGACAGGTCCGCCATCCCAGCCGGCTTGGGAAGCGCCGACTCCTGGGCGCTCATCACTCTCGGAAGCCAAGCACGCTGATGTATGAACTCCGTGAATCGCGGGAGTCACACACCGTACCCCCCAATGAAGCAGGAGGCTGGGTCTCAGAGAACGTGGCGGAACCTCGAGTGGGACACGATCCGCTGAGTAGGGCCCTCTGGAGATGCCTGTATGCGTTTGATTGGTTTGCGAATGTGCTCCTGCACGCTATGCATGTATTTGCCAGGGTCACCGTCGAACATAGGTTATGCGCATTGTGCCAGCGACGCATCTGGTTCATGAAGGCCCCTCTTTGTCTGCAAACGCTGCCCACATATCCCACCCTCCTCCGTCGTCCACTCACACTTCCACGGGGACTCCTGAATGGCCTCGGGGTCCTCTTCCAAGTCCTGCTCTGCGTAGCCCATGGGGAAGACTGTCGCCGACAAGTCACGAGAACTTACTTCTGTGAAGTCCACTCTAGACCAGCACTCACGATGTTCTTCATCCACGAGTTCGCCAGGGCAGAGCGCAAGGTGTGCACGAACTCCTCCATCATCCAGGAGGTCAGAAGCACGGCGAAAGTCAGTTTGCACTCGCAGGAGCCACGGAAACGCTTTAGAAGGATTTGCCCATCTTCCGAAAAGTGGCTTGCCCCCCTCGTCCAGATCCAGAGTCCCGAACATCAAACACAGCACCTAAGAATGGTTGCTGGGGGGCGAGGGCCCAACTTCGATACCATCCCAGACATCGCACCAACATCTCCGTCTCCGAACTAGCTAGACGCCAATGCTGCATCACCCGCTTGCTCGACCACGAACGAATTCGATCTCCCACCTTCGTCAACGCCTTCCCCTGGAACGCCCTCCTCCCATACCGAGCCAGAAGCGAATCGAGTTCACGATAGTGTCGGGCCGTGAGCAGCATTGGTTCTAAACCCGTCAGCGCCGCGTTCTGGACGAAGCTGAAAAAAAAGTGTCCGCTTCCATCGAAACGAGGAGGATATGCAGAGGAGGCTGATCTGGGGGGGAGGGGGGGCGGGGGAGGGAGGGGGAAGGAAGAGGAGGGAGAGGAGGAGCAGAAGCAGGAGGAGGTACGTGGGGGAGTATTAAGGATGTTGCTGAAGAGGAAGGGAGGGAGGGAGGGAGGGAGGGAGGGGAGGAAAGGAGGAGTATGCTGAGGAGGAATGGAAGGAGGAGGCGAATAATGGATTACGAAAAAGAGGAGGGGGGAGGAGGAGGAGGAGGAGGAGGAGGAGGAGGAGGAGGAGAAGGAGAAGGAGAAGGAGGAGGAGGAGGAGGAGGAGGAGGAGGAGAGAGGAGGAGGAGGAGGAGGAGGAGGAGGAGGAGGAGGAGGAGGAGCGACTGTGCCGAAGGAGGAGGAAGAGAGGGAGACGGAGGAGGATGAAGAGGGAAGGACCCAAGGCGCATCCACGATGCTGCAATGAACCCTCCCTCCAAGTTCCCTCTTCACAGGCCCCTGCGAAAATACAGCTTCATTGCAGAAGGTGACCCATTAGAAGACAAGCGTCTGCCCTGTCGGCGTGTGTGAGGGACTTGTCCGTTCAAGTCGTCATCTCCGTCATTCGTTGGTCGTCGTCTCTGTCGTCCCCTTTCCCTGCCTCCCCCCTTTCCCTGGGCTCGTCGAAGCTCGCCCCTTTCCCAGGGACCTCTTCAGCGCGCCAGCCAAAGACGTCGTAATGTAGTCGAAAGGAAGCCCCTTCCCTTCGATCCCTCCCCCGCCGGGGGGAGGGGGGTGGAGGGGTCCCGGGGGGAGGGTCCCCTTATCGGCCGAAGCGGGCCCCAAGACGGCCCAAGACGCCTCCAAGACGGCCCAAGAGGCCCCCAAGACGGCTCCAGGAGAGTGCCCGGACGGGGGACCCGAACGGACATTTCGAGCTCTCAGCCCAAAGAGGCCTCCAAGAGGCCCCGAAGAAGCCCCAAGAGTCCCCAAGAGGCTCCCAAGGGGCCCCCAAAAACTGCCCCAAGACAGCCCAGGAGAGCCCCCAATTGCCCAGGAGGCCTCCAAGAGTGCCTCGAGACGGCGCAAGAGGAGCCCTGGACGGCCCAAGACGGCCTCAAGAGAGCCCCAGGCTGTCCCAAGAAAGCCTCTGGCCTCCTCCTCCTCCTCCTCCTCCTCGTCCTCCTCCTCCTCCTCCTCCTCCTCCTCCTCCTCCCCCCTCTGCTCCCCCTCCTCTTCTCCCCCCTCCACCTCCCTCATCCACCTCCTCCACCCTTCCTCCACCTCCCACTCATCCTCCTTCCTCTGCCCCCCCCCTCGTTTTCATCTTCGTCGTTCTCAGGGTCGGCGGCACCGGCTTCATTGCAGAAGGTGACCCACTAGGAGACAAGCGTCTGACAATCGTCCATCATGCCAGAACACCGTTTCTAGGACTTCAACGCCGCGGATCAACGTGACTGTCAGGTCCTGACAATCCTAAATCGCGCCAGAATTCCATTCCGGGGATGTTCACACCGCCAATCAACTTGACTGTTGCACACTGTCATTCCCAAACTGTGCCAAAACACCACTCCTGGGATTCAGCCATACGAACCCTTGACACTGCTTGCACACCTTTAAGACGAAGATGCGCGGCGCCAAGGCTAGAGCCACATTTTGAAAAGGACCCGCCCTCCATCCACGAAGCTGCCCGAAACTTCCAAGACGAATGTGCGCGGAGCGGAGGCGAGAGCCACCTTTTGAACAGAACATCCCGTCCATGCTTACAGCTCTTACAGAATTTTACGACGAAGGTGCGCGGCGATAGCCGCATTTTGAAAAAAGGCCTGCCCTCCATCCGTCAAGCTGCTGCATTGTTCGAAGACGAATGTTCACGGCGCTAACGCAAGAACCATACATTGAAAACCACGCGCCCTCCATCCGTGAGTATGATGCAAATTTCAAGTTTCAAGATCCTGAATGGTAGAACTGTGAGGTAGTCTGTGGCGAAACGCCCAACCTGGCCGACCGACATGTCTGGAGGTACGAAAGGGAGGCGTTATGTATAAGGAAGAGAAGTGGAGAAGGAGGAGGGAGAAGGAGAAGGCGGAGGGTTGTCGAGTGCTGCGTGCAATCGGGGGGAAGAGGAGCAGGTACAGGTCGAGGACGAGGTTCGGCAGGACAGAGGGGTGGACGCGTGGACACGAGGGGCCTGAGCAAGAAAAGGGGTGGGCTGGGGACATCGAACAAAGCGGGGTGGCACAGGAAGTGGCCGAGAGGCAAAAGACCGCAGTTCGAAAAGACTAGTCGGCGCCCCTGCGGCTCACCTGGAGGCCTGCGGGGGGTCCGACGGGGCGGTCTGGAGCGGGAAGCTCCAGCGCCGCCCGCCCCCCACCCCTCCCAGGCCATCCCTCTTCCGCCACCTCCTCCTCCGCCCCCTCCTCCTCGTCCTGGGGCACCAGGACAAACACAACGCATCTGGGGCGAACCCTCCTGGGGGCCCCAAGGCCATCAAAGCGGATGCAGGGCGAGAAGACGGCCCCCCTGCCCCAAGGGGAGGGGTCGGGGTCGGGACCTCGGGGGCCGAGCGCTGCACAACCACGCCGTCGGATGTCTGGGTCCGCCTGCCCAGCCTGGCCCTTTGGCCGCGCGCAGGAGGGGGGGGTACGGCAGGTTCGTGTCGTGTCGACCCCGACGTTGGTTTTTGACACCGCAGGGATCGTTCAACCTTGAACGATCGGCCGTTGCCGCAACGTCCGATCGTTCAACATCGATCGATTCTGGGTCGCCGGCGGCGTTCAACCTTGAACGTCCGCGCTGGGGTCGCCGCTGGTCGACACGACGCAGACCTACCGTAGGGGGGGGTTGGGGGGAAGGCTTCTCAGAAGGAGGCTGCCTCTTAGAAGGCGCCGGCCTTACATCTGCAGACATGGCCCGCGCCTTCTAAGAAGCAGCCTCCTTCTAAGAGGCCTCCCCCCCTCCCCCCCTCCCCCCCCCTGCGCGCGGCTGATTTCCCCCCTCGCAATTGGCAGCGCGCAGGTGTGCGCGGGCGCACCAGGCTGGAGCACCCCCGCTTCCGCGCCTGGCCGCCCCGTCCGGCCAGCACGGAGGTGCCAACCGACTCGAGGGCCCATGTGGGACCCTCCGTTCCCAGATCCCTCCACGCCAATCGCCCACTCCACTCGTGAGTGCACCCAACATATCGCTCCCCTCCCTCTCTCGTCCCTCCCTCCCCCTCCTCCCTCCATGCTCCCTCCCATCCCCCCTCCCTCCCTCCCGCCCTCCCCTCGCTCCCTTGGCCCCCCTCCCCTCGCTCCCTCCCTCCATGCTCTCTCCCTTCTTCGCCACGCCCCCCACCTCCACTGGCATCCGCCCCTGTGAGTTTTCAGTCCGCGGCACAGCGCCCGACCGCTTCCCCAGGGCTACTTTTTCGTCCTGGGTCAACTTTTGATGGTCCCGGGGCCCAGTGACGGCCCCAGGAGGCCGATACCAAGGAACACGCCTGGATTGAAAAATCGTATCGTCGGAGATCTGGGTCCTCCTCCCCCTCCGAGGCGGGACGACAACGACGGCGGCGGCGACTACGACCGCGGCGACGTGGCGGACCCCCCGACCTGGGCGGCCTCCTCCGCGGCCCTATTCCTCGCCACCTCTCTGGCGGCGCGCCACCTGGCCGCCTCCTCCTCCTCTGAGGCCCTCTTCCTGGCCGCGGCCTCCTCCCCGCTCTCCTCTGGGGAGCGCCGACGGGGTGACAGAGAGAAAGGGAGCCCCTAGAGGTGTCAGCAGTGTCCCTACCACCTCCGGCCTCGCGGCGGGCCGTGAAACAACACTACACCATGCGAAATGCTTAAGAAATCATGGGTTAAGAAACTCATAGTCTCAGAACTTGGATAAAAACCAAACGTTTCTACTAAAATGTTAGGATTCACATCGAAACATTGAAAATAATCGAGACTCTGGCCGAAAACTTAAGTTTTCTTAAGCATCGCCTAAAGTGTACATCCTCGTCGGGCGTCGGTCCAACGTTCTCTCTGGCCGCCTCGCGTCCTCTGAGGGGGCCGGCACGGGGTTGGGGGGGAGCTGGCTCAGGGAGGAAAGGGCCGAGAGCGCACGCTGCTGGGCAGGGTGGGACACCCGAGCCCCGATCGGCGACAAGCGGACAATCGAGCGACGAACAGAACGGGTCTCACGCGAGATGACGTAGCGACCTTACGCGACGGCTTACGCTACATTGGAGACGAGGGCGCTTACGCGCGACCTTACGCGGGCAGCTTGCGCGCCAATGTCGGTGACGACGATGCCGTTTTCCTTCGTCGCTCGGTTGGGGGTCGACGGTCACCCATCTGGTTCTCCAAACTTCGCGCTCCACGCCCCGCGATGATGCTTGTGCCCTCGCGCCACGACGCGCGAAACGCGATTGTCTCCGCGCCCCCGCGGGTGACCTAGCTCCCGAGCCAATCCCAACGTTCGGCGCCCCCAATCCTCGACCGCTCTGCTCTGACCTGCCACGTCCTTCTCACTCCTGTTCGCCGCTGGACTCATGGTTGTCGCCTCCTGGGAGGCTCCGCAACTTGCAACAACTTGGAGCAGGGAGATGGACGCAGGATCCTGCATACTGTCTGAGGCTGAGAAGTGGGAAGAGGGATGACACTGCAGGGGAGGAGGAGGAGAAGGAGGAGGAGGAGGAGGAGGAGGACGAGGAGGAGCAGGATGAGGAGAAGGAGGAGGAGGAGGAAAAGGAAAAGGACAAGGAAAAGGAAAAGGAAAAGGAAAAGGAGGAGGAGGAGGGACGAGGAGAGGGGGAGGCAGTCAAGCTATGTGCGCTCGCGCCATATCTGACATCCTCCTATTCCCACTCATCCCTTCTAATTGCGCTGTTCGTTTCTTTATCTAGCGACGTGTGTAATCCCACCAGCCCTTTAGGACGTGAGTGGTTTGGAGCGTTTCCTCTTCCAACCCCCTTCTTCCCCCTCAAGGAGGGGCTTATCACTGTTACAAATGTACACCACCTCCCCTACCCGGCCAGCGGCCAACCCAGAACCATGCCGACTCCTTGCGGGTCCGCCCCCCGCCATGCCTGTCAACAAATAATGCAAACCGCACTCTGCCTCCAAATTTGGAGCATGCGCGGCCAACCCAATGCGCCCCCCCTCACCATCCCTGTCAAACAAACAATGCAAAGTACACTTTGGTGCAAGTCTTGAGTCATGTTCGTAAGGCCCGCGAGCACTTTGTATTGTTTTGACTAGGACGGCGGGAGCGTCAGCATATTCCCTGCTGCGCACAGGGCTACCATCCCTAATAAAAAACAAAACAACATGCACCTCGCGGCTAAATCTGGATCATGCGCGGCCATCCAGCGATCACTGTCAAGCAATGTTTGACAGGGACGGCGGGGGGGGGGGCGCGTAGCCTGCTGTGCGCAGGCCCGCCAAACATGGTGTTCGACAAGGATGGCGGAGGCCGACATGTTTCCCGATGTGCGCTTTCACGTGCGCAGGCGCACCTGACGCACTCTGTACGTGCCCCGAAAGTGGCGCACCTGGCACGGCTGGAGTGTGCGGCACACCTGGCGCACTCGGAGCACGTGGCGCATCTGGCGTGCCTGGCACGCTCGGGCCCCAGGGGTGACTGGCGCGCGTGGCGTCCCTGGCACGCGTGGTGCACCTCGCCAAAGCATCGCGCACCTGGGGTCAGCTTTGGTTCCCAGTAGCTGTCCATCCAAAGACGACCGCTGAACATGCTCAGGCTCGGGTGTTACTTACGTGTTGGGAGGGCGGGTGGGAGTGAGCTAGACGGCTTGCGGGCGGATGGGTAGCTTGACCACTCCACAATTACACAATATGAATACTACTCTCCTCTCTCCCCTGATAACGTCCGGAAGATATCCGCCTCCCCTCCGCGTACTGCTTGTTACACGGGTTTCCTGGGAACTGGGTGTTCGCTTAGGCTTTTTTTAACATGTTGTTCCCGCTGAAGCGCTGGCCTCATTTTCGGGCTTCCGCTGGTTCCGAATCGTGCTCCCGCTGCAGCGCTGGACTCATTTCCATCCTTCCGCACGTTCCGAATCGTGCTCCCGCTGCAGCGCTGGACTCATTTCCGCGGTTCCGCTCGTTCCGAATCGTGCTCCCGCTGCAGCGCTGGCGTCATTATTTCCAGTGCCATGCCACGGCATGGTTTCCCGTCCTTCCAAATAGGCCTCAAATCTAGAAAATGCCCCCCGACAAAAACCATCGGAAGTGATTACACATTCGGTGTCGATTCTTTGATTGTTTGGGCCGCAGAAGCCCGCCCGCCCCGCAATTTTGGGGCGTCCCCGCGCCATGCTATGTCATGCTACCCGTTGATTTTCAACGCTATGCAATGTAATGCTATGCCATGCTGCGATATCCGACTGTGCGAATATGGAGAGGATGCCTACGTCATGGTAAGAGATGGGAGGGAGGGGTACAACATCAGATATGACGCGAGAGAACTAAGCTTGCCCTACCCCCTGCCCCAAGACCTGGACGGGGGGGGGGCGGCGGGTAGTTAGAGCGTCCCAAGGTGGCCTCGGCGAGAAAGCCAAAATCCGCCGACCCCTTGGGGATCATCGGCGTGTGAGATGCCCCCCCCTCCCCAAACCTCTCCCCCGGGAGCCCGGTCCGGTCGATTTGGACGGGGGGGGGCCCCCGACGAGCGCGCCACGAGGGCTTAAAGATGGGCCAAGAAGGCCCCAAGAGGGTTCCAAGACGGCCCACGAGGGCCCCGGGACGCTAAACGAGCGCTCCAAGACGCCCAAGATGGCCCCAAGACAGGCCAAGAGGCCTCCAAGACGGCCCCAGAGGTCCCAAACAAGCCTCCCAAGAGGGCCCCAAGAGGCTAAAATTGTTGATGTTCCATTGTGCTTTTCGGTGTTTTTTGCCTTTTCGCCTTTTCGGCTTCCCGACGTTCCAGGACGGCCCAAGAGGCCCCGGAGATAGCCCCAAGACGGCCCAAGAGGCCCCCGAGACGGCCCCAAGACGGCCCAAGATAGCCCCAAGACGGCCCAAGATGTCCCCAAGACGGCCCAAGAGGGCTCCAAGACGGCACCAAGAGGGGCCCCAGAGGGCGACCAAAAATTCAAAACATCTAGCTTTCCGCCCCCAGGAGCCCCAGGGGGCCCCAAGAGTGCACCAAGATGCCGCCACAGGCTCCCAAGAGGCCCCCAAGACGCCCCAAGGAGCCCCCAAGAGGCCCCCAGGAGGCCCCAAAAGACCCCCAGAAGCTCCGAAACGGCTCCCAAGTGGCTTCAAAACTGCCTTCCAGAGGCCCCCGAGAGGCGTGGCGCGAGATCCCGATACACATGCAAGAAGCCTCTAACACAGAACCATGACCCAGAGCCTCCTCGCTGTGTCCCCCTCCTCCTCCTCCCCCTCCTCCTCCACCTCGGCCCCCAAGTGGCTTCAAAACTGCCTTCGAGAGGCCCCCGAGAGGCGTGCCGCGAGATCCCGATACACATACAAGAAGCCTCTAACACATAACCCATAGCCCAGAGCCTCCTCTCTGTGTCCCCCTCGTCCTCCTCCTCCTCCTCCTCCCCCTCCTCCTCCAGGGGCCCAGGCAAGGAACCCGAACGGAAATTGCAAGCCCTCGGCCCCAAGAAGCCTCCAGGAGGCCCCAAGAAGCCCCCAAGAAGCACCCAAGAGGCTCCAATAGGCCCACCAGAGGCCCAAAAGCGGCCCCAAAACGGCCCCCAAAAGGCCTCAAAGTGCTGCCAGGAGGCTCCCGAGAGACCTACCAGGAGTCCCAAGGGGTCGGCGGTGCGGCGTAAGCCAAAGAATCCACGTCCGGAGGTGACGTGCTGAGCGGCAGCGTTTTTCGGCGAACGCCTTAATGCAACGTATCCAATGTATCCAAGGATTCCATAATTGCAACACATTGTATTGTGTTCCATTATTATGTCTCCCCCCTAACCCCCCCTGGGAGCTGCGCCACACCGCCGGACCAAGATGACCCCCCCCTTCTGGGGCCCTAAAAACCTACAAAAACATATGAATGATCCCGGCAAAGCAACCTAACAGCGATGTGCAGGAGCATATCTGGAAGCATTCCCCTTAAGATTCAGATGAGAATCCAGTTGTAGAATTCTGCTGTTCTCGCAGTCGTAGTCGCATTCGCGTTGACAGTCGCAGTGGCCTGCATCAGCCTCAGCCTCAGCCTCGGCCTGCCTCAGCATCAGCCTCAGCCTCAGCCTCCGCCTCAGCCTGCCTCAGCCTCAGCCTCAGCCTGCCTCAGCCTCAGCCTCAGTCTGCCTGCAGCCTCGGCCTCGGCCTCAGCCTCCGCCTGCCTCAGCCTCAGCCTGCCTCAGCCTCAGAATCAGCCTCAGCCTCAGCCTGCCTCAGCCTCAGCCTCAGCCTGCTTCAGCCTCAGCCTCAGCCTGCTTCACCCTCAGCCTCAGTCTGCCTTCAGCCTCGGCCTCAGCCTCGGCCTGCCGCAGCCTCAGCCTGCATCAGCCTCAGCCTCAGCCTCAGCCTGCCTCAGCATCAGCCTGCCTCAGCCTCAGCCTCAGCCTGCCTCAGCCTCAGCCTCAGCCTGCTTCAGCCTCAGCCTCAGTCTGCCTTCAGCCTCGGCCTCAGCCTCAGCCTGCCTCAGCCTGCAGCCTCAGCCTCAGCCTCAGCCTCCTCAGCCAGCCTGCCTCAGCCTCAGCCTCAGCCTGCCTCAGCCTCAGCCTGCCTCAGCCTCAGCCTCAGCCTCAGCCTCCTCAGCCTCAGCCTCGGCCTCAGCCTCAGCCTGCCTTCAGCCTCAGCCTCGCATCAGCCTCAGCCTGCCTCAGCCTCAGCCTGCCTCAGCCTCAGCCTCAGCCTCAGCCTGCCTCAGCCTCAGCCTCAGCCTCAGCCTGCCTCAGCCTCAGCCTCAGCCTGCTTCAGCCTCAGCCTCAGTCTGCCTTCAGCCTCGGCCTCAGCCTCAGGCTGCCTCAGCCTCAGCCTGCATCAGCCTCAGCCTCAGCCTCAGCCTGCCTCAGCATCAGCCTGCCTCAGCCTCAGCCTCAGCCTGCCTCAGCCTCAGCCTCAGCCTGCTTCAGCCTCAGCCTCAGTCTGCCTTCAGCCTCGGCCTCAGCCTCAGCCTGCCTCAGCCTCAGCCTGCATCAGCCTCAGCCTCAGCCTCAGCCTGCCTCAGCATCAGCCTGCCTCAGCCTCAGCCTCAGCCTGCCTCAGCCTCAGCCTCAGCCTGCTCAGCCTCAGCAGCCTCAGTCTGCCTTCAGCCTCGGCCTCAGCCTCAGCCTGCCTCAGCCTCAGCCTGCATCAGCCTCAGCCTCAGCCTCAGCCTGCCTCAGCATCAGCCTGCCTCAGCCTCAGCCTCAGCCTGCCTCAGCCTCAGCCTCAGCCTGCTTCAGCCTCAGCCTCAGTCTGCCTTCAGCCTCGGCCTCAGCCTCAGCCTGCCTCAGCCTCAGCCTGCCTCAGCCTCAGCCTCAGCCTGCCTCAGCATTCAAAATGTGGCCCGGGAATGGAATTCTGGGAACTCGAAAAACACGAAGTGGCCTACAGTTGGCTCCGGGCATTCAAAATCATGCCCAAGAATGGAATCCTGGGAACTCGAAAACCACGAAGTGGCCTACAGTTGGCTCCGGGCATTCAGAATGTGGCCTGGGAGTGGAGTTCTGGGAACTCGAAGACCACGAAGTGGCCTACAGTTGGCTCCGGGCATTCAAAATGTGGCACGGGAATGGAGTTCTGGGA